ATAAGGGAAACGAACTACTTTGTGTCAGAGATGGTCAAAATGATACATGAACAACTAGATAAATAAATGCTATCAAAATTATCTCACACTATGGACTGTTTCTACCTACAAGCCTTCTCTGACTAATTTTTTTTCATGTTTGCAGATTTTCTTTTAATATACATTTATACTCCAATATACTGTCTTACTTAAAAAGGTAAGTTAAATAAAATTTTCCACTTACTAGAACAACAGAAAGTTCAGTCTTCTCAGATATCTCCCTTAATGTTTTAATTGGTACTAGAAGTAGTGTTGCTCTCCACATGGATTAAAAAGGAGCAGCAGCAGGATGTACACTGTTGCTGTGTGATCACAAAATTTAGTAAGCATGAAAATGACTAGATACTCCTGGATGCAACTCCACATCTTACAGAGGATTATTACAGAGCTTTAAAGAGATCATTTTCCCCCTGTGCTCCTATCCCTTTTTCCTCCCATTCTTTCTCATTTAGTGTTTAAGTGTTCTCGCTAACCTGTCCTCTTTCACATACTGCTGCCTGTGTCCTCCCTTTCTTCCTCACATTATTGGCCTTTTCCGTTGTCCCTCTCCCCAGGTCTCTTTCACTTCCATTTTACTCAGTCTTATCCCTTCTTATCTACCTTTCCTTGGATGCTACTTGGAGGACCACTCAAGGAAGCAAGAAAAGCCAAGAGCACAATAAAAAAATTATCCTCACTTTCACATCCACAAAAGCCCAGGGAGAAAAGAAAAAGCAGTTACATTGAGAATCAAATCTGTTCTGGTAGTCCATAGAACTCTACCAAACTCCCAAGAAGTGTCCACCCGCTATATAAATCACCGATTGTTTGGTGACTTTTACTGTGTCCAACACTGGAGAAATATTTTCATTGCAGTAGGTTCCAGTGATAATGTCACTGCATGAACCACCAACATCAAATCCCAGATTGTGCTGTAAAAAGCTTTTTAACATAAGTAAAATCATGTTTCTTTCCTAACATCTCTTTCAGGAATGGTCATGATATATTAGCAAAAACATTAAAAATTAAAAGCAACAAAAAAGCTGTTGCTTGAGACAGACAACAATAATGGAATGCTTCAGTCTAAAAGGTCGACATCAGAGGAATTAAACGGGAACTGATAACAGACAGCACCAGACGTTTATCACTTGTACTTATAACAGATGTTTACATAGGTAATATAAACTAAAAAATTCCATAACAACTTCACAAATCTAGCAAAATGTGTGCATGTATTTGGACACAGATGTTAAGTATACTAAATTTCAGCTACAGAATGAGTTAACTGGCAAAAACCAATGCTGAAGTTAAGGTATTTTAAGGAAAATAATTCAACTCTTCTTGCCTGAGACAATGCCAAAATGAAAACATATTTTCAGAAGTTTTATTTTTTAGTGCACATTGTAAAAGGCTGATGTGCTAAGAAAAGGCTAAACTATGCTTGAGCCTGTCATCCATTATTAAAAATTTTACCTATGTGTGACAGAACAATGGTTCAGTGTTCAGTGCTGGCATCTACTGAACAAGTCTGGATGACAAAGCACTTTCACAGTATTTTCCATTCACTTCCACCTCCAATTAGCAACTTGATGATGAACCATTATCATTGAAGTATATTGACTTTTCATGGGAACTGGAATCCAAATTTCTGAAACTGGAAACTTTAAAAAAACAATGGCCTGGCAACCCTAAGTCATACTCTACATTATATATATTTTTATTTTTGCTACTAGCATCACACTTCCCACAAATTAGTATAGGTTTGCTCTTAACTCTATTACTTTTCTTTTTATAATACATTAAATGCCTCTTGACCCATGCTGTGAATTTTGGAAACCTGAATTTTTAGGCACATAGGTGAAGGAAAGCTTCTCTTATTATTTAACAATTTATTTGTTCACAATGACACTGGTTTTAATTTAGGCAGAGGAGCTGGAAATTGTAAGATTGTCTCTCAGGAGCTGTTTACACTACCCATTCCCAAAGGAATGAGCTATCCATGCCCTTTCTGATACATACATTAAGTTTTCTCAAAGCACTTTACTGAGTTTTCCACATAATAAATCTGGGATGTGTTGAAAATGAGGTTCCACAGATAACTACCAAAAATTTAGCTTATTATGCAAAGTAGCATTAAACCCCAAAAGATTTCATATGCACATAAATAATGGGTCAGATAAGTACAAAAGTGAACATTTCCTTAATATTCTATCAACTACTTTATTAACTATTAAACTTTCTAGGAAATAAAATACATACGCTGGTAAAAATGTTCTATGTTCATTATGTGATTTACAAAATTACTGTCATGCTCAATGCAGTGCAATTGTAGTTTATATTTTAGAGCTCCACTGCAAAAATTCTCACTACCCTCTCAATAACTCAATGTTCTGAAATGCTTTTATTTTGCTATGATTTTTACCTTATGTGACATTTAAAAAGTAGACAAGTCCAGATTAACTGACAAGCTAGTGAGAATCTGTTCTACTTTTGTTCATATAAATATCCTAAGATTTCCAGAATTAAGTATTCAAGTAAGGAAAAAAGAAAAGATTAAAAAAATAAACATGCCTGCTTTATTCTCTTAAAAGAAGATAAAAGCAAAATTATTTATTACAATTTCATCTATGACAGGTATAATTTATATCAGATCATATGAAATCACATTTACATCACCAGAGATCTTTAGAATGTAACTTGTGACCTAATCAGTAAGCTTTAAATTAAGGTAATAGTAGCATTGTGTTTAAAATGTGTGGGTGGGGAATCAAAGGCCCACAGTCCTATCCAGCTGGTTTTACCTATGTCATTTTCTTCCCTAATAATCCCTAATTTGCTGCATGAACCAGTGTTTTGGGAAAAATATAAAAACAAATGTAGAAGAGTTAATAATAAAACTCTTCTACTCTTAATTTCAGTTTTCTAATGCTAGTAACTCTTCCCTGTAAAGGGATTTTTTTAAACAGAAGCATTTGTCTAAACAGTATCTATCAAACTTGTACCTGCAAAGGCAGTTTATTCATGTAGTTGTTATAATGATATTGATAGTAATTGCTTTTTCTACAGAAATGGGTTTCTGAGCCAAGGTAAGTGAATCAGCATAGCAGAGTAAACATCTCATGTAAATATCTGTTGCAACTATATTTGAATGATGTAATTACACATGTATGGATTATATGTGTATTTACACATCCACCAATTTTTAGGAAACCATGTTCAGACACCAAGGAACACAATGATAAGATGCTTCCCTTCAACATACAACACAGAACTTGCAGAGTAAATGACTTACAGGAAGGAAGGAGACTGTGTCTTTTGGATGAATTATCTTCAAAATAGTTGGCTTTATAGTCTGTCTTCCTTCATCTACATCTTTCATGACACCAGCGGTCATCATAACAACTTACTTCTAGTAGACTTCAAAGCATTTGTTGCAAGCAGTGTTCATTGCATAGCATATGATTTTACAAATCCTGTAAAGTTAGCTGATCTAAAAGTATTGCATCACATTAAAATTCCTGAAAACAGCATTTTGTATAGGTGTGACTATTCCTGCACAATCACTGCAGATCAGGTCTTCAGAGGACACGACAATTATGTAACTAAAATACTTGGGAACTGGACAGTTGGATAGAAATGTTTTGTTGTTAAGGCCAAAAAAGTCTTAACCAAAACATAAACAAATTCTAGTTTGTAAGGGGTTTGTAATTCGGCAACTTTCACAACATTTTCCGCAGACTTGTGGCAAACGGGTGTGACTGAGCTACTTCATATCACTAGAAATTCAGCATGATCAAACAACTTATTTATCCTCAGCTGCCTTCTCAGAAATATCTGAGCAGACATTTTCATGACACTTAAAAAAACATGTTAAGGCTTTTGAAATGACAGTTACAATTAGTGTTACTTAAGGCAGCTAAGTAAAGATATTAACATTTGGATTAAAAAACTTTCCTGCATGGAAGACTTCCTCTGAAACATTTAAAGCTTAATAAACCTATATGTAACTAAACTCAGTGTCTTACGACAGGAAGTGTCAGGCAGACTTGCAGTGCTAGTAATTCTGCCTCTAGTATCGTCTGTCGAGTACTTGTCACTGTTGAATAACCTTCTAGATAAATAGGAATACCTTAAGTTAATGCAATCAGACTCACTAGTAAAATAACTATCATTTTACTACATATATTAATAATGAATATGTAGTAGTCATTAAAGGAACAGATTTAAAAGAAAAAAAAACAACAAAAAAAGCAAAAACAAACAGGTGAAGTGTAAACTCAGGAATGGATTTTTCTGAGCAGAAGAAAGAAAATGACAGGGAAAGAAGTAGCAAGGCAGACAAATAATGGGTAAACAGAGTTTATTCAAGAGACGGTAAAGAAAGCTACTTTTTGGTAGTGGTAGATTTCTTTGGCACATTGAAGTCCCAGCTCAACAAGTGCGTGTGGTCACTGTCGCTCTGCATTTCTCGAGAGCTGCAGTTAGCCGGGCACAAGATGGCACGGGCAGGCTGGAACTGATCTGGAACTGCTGAGCACTCCAGCAGGTGAGATCCAGTCCCGTGATGACACTCATGTCCCGACGGCCACGTTTAACTCTTGGTATATCTCAAGAACATATAGGAAGAAAGATTGGAAAAGGTCTTCCCCCTATACCCTCACCAATCCCAGAAACCACACCAGGAGTACTGCTTTGCTCATTTAGGCATCCAGTTCCTTTTTCCCTTCATATTCCCTTCATATGCAACAAATCTATCATGAGGAAACTATCCAAATTTTAACAGCAGTATGAAAAATATGTCGATTCACAGAATGAATCAGAAACTTCATTTTCCTTTTAAATAAACCTCGGATTACGCATACAGCCTTTGGTGCCAGTTTTCTACACATGCTCATATTAATTTATTTACTGTTTCATAGTTTTTAATACCGATTTAATGTTTAAGTGAGGGATAAATGTATTTTTATACTTAAAATACTTACGGGTCTTTCGAGCAGAATCTTCTACAAAAAGAGAAGAAATGTCTTCATCTACCCCCGCTTCGTTCTTTGCAATACAAGTGTATGCTCCTGTATCTTCATAGCGCACATTGCTAATGTGAACCTCACTGCCATTTGCTGAAAGGAGAGGAGATATTCAACATGCAGACATGCTACAGTGCTTTCAGAATATATGTTCAGACAGCTTTCTCAGCTCACGTTAATTAGACCATTTTAATTCCTGAGTTCTTAACTTGGAGGTATGCCAAACTAACCCCTAGGTATTCAACTGGCTAGTGAGTTACATATACTTTTATTCATCCCATAGATAGCTGGAATACCTCATCTGATTTTTGCACTTCAGATCCAAATATCAGTCGGAGGTTTTATATATGTTTAAGTGACTATGGTTGTCTTTTAAATCACCTAAATATTATGTTTTTATTACATTGCATCTGGTCACTTGACACTATTACTGGCTTTACACAAAATAACCCAGGTTTCCGTGGAACATAGTGGGCTAAAATGTCAACATAAATAATAATTTTAATATAATTATTTGTTTCTAGTAACCAGAGGCACCTGGTTTTGTTTTCATGTGAATTCAGTGCAGCAACAGAAAAAACAGGCACACTGGAATTTTACACCTACATCAGTGTAGGAGTCTATGGAAATTACTTCTGTATGTCAGCTTGGGTAGGAAGGTTTCAATGGTCCAGGTTTCACAGGCAAGGGTCTTTTAAATAATGTGAAGTGAATAATGATGTGACCAGTGATTTGTTGCATCTTAAGTATTGCATACTTGTTTAACTGTAGGATCTATTTTATAAGAACAGCTCTGTAAGTATTCTAAAATACGGACTAGAAGGGGCACTGGGTTATGGTGTAATACCCCTTCTAGGCCACCTTTGCTTGAAGCTAATGCATAGGTAGTTCAACTCAGGAAAAATTCAGGGAAAATGTAATGAAGCTTTCAAAATTTTATTTCAAATATATATATATTCAAGAAAATGGAATTTAAGGCATTTCTCTTAGAGAAGAACCATTCTTATTTATTACAAATATATTACACACAAGTGAGGGAAAAAATTTCCTCTCAAATTCCTACAGTAGAAATTAACAGAATGCTACTGTGCAAGAGGCATCCACCACTTTCTCCTTATAGTGGAAAGTGTTTCTGCAAGGAAATAGTTAACCTATATCCAGGAGAGAGGGCCATGAAGGAACAGAGGACTATGACACCTATATGGAAGGTAAGACTCTCTTCAGAGAAACATTCACTGCTTGACTGTCCCACTGCTTCTTAACACTGCAGCGTGATTGCTGTCCTATCCTAATACACATCCTGTTTTTGCAAATGAACGAGAAAATGATTTAAAACGAACACTGGTAGCACGAGATTTTTTTCTATAGCTGATGACAAATCACCAGAAGGATTGCAGAAAGTAGAAGGTTTTGTGCTGGGCAGGTTTATTGAATTTGGTGAGCCCTAAAGATTCATAGAAGATTCATACTTTGGCCTTTATTATTATTTTTTTCCTTTAGGGGGGGGTGGGGTGGGGTGGTGTGTGTGTGTGTGTGTGTGTGTGCGCGCGCGCGCGCGTGCAGTGTCTCTGCACTCCCTTGGAGGTCTGCTGAGAACCCTCAGAAAACAGCACATCTATTTCAGGTAGCCCTCCTCCTGTCCTTTCCACCATCAGGTCCAAGTCTTACTGACATTCTTATCAGTAAAAGTACTTCTCTTTTCAACTGAGCTGCAGTAAAGTTCTGTCCATGTTCTGATCTAAATTTAAATATTAGCATTGAATAGTCATTGAACAGCATTAAAATAGTTGCAGTGACAAATTTTGAGTTGGGATTGGGTCTTAGGTTGCTTGCTCTACTCTGAAACTACACATTTTTTAATAGAGAAGAGCATATTGGAATTTACTGGTAGTCCTGTCCGTAAGTACAACCATTATTCTAATAAAGAGAAAACAGAGAATATGTGCCCTGGGGAGTAACTGGAAGACATCTTCTGAAATGTTTTAGCTTAGACCTCAACCCTGAGTTAAAACTATGTAAGAAGGATAGCTAGTATGGAAAGGATGCACTGATAAAACATTTACTACCTGTAGATAGAACAAATATACCCCTTTACCTTGAAGAGTTAGCTGTTTGGATAACTTTGGAGTGATATCAATTCCATTCTTCAGCCAACCAAGTTGTGGGTTGGGAATACCTTCAGCATGGCACCGAAGGCTAGCTGTCACACCTGGTTCCCTTGCCTGGCTCTCTGGATAGACTCGGATGACTGGTGGAACTGAAGGCAGGAAACAATTGTAATTTAGTGGAGAAAACTATTATCTTCATTTTAAGAAAAATAATTATAAGCAATTCTAAAGAGTCCTGCAGCTATATATAACAACAGTACAACACACAGATGTGGTATTAGTCACATACTCAGTGACATTCAATGCTGAACTCTGTCACAGTGAATTTATGAAGCAGAAAGAATGTTCTGTGAGAAAAATCTCTTTTCACTGCCTATGTTATTAATGAAAAAAGCCTGAATTCTAATTCAATAGTTTGGAGTTGACTAATAAGATTTTTATTTTTCCTTATATCTCTTTATAAAATACGAATAATGTACAACCAGTAAGTTATGATGTGATGTACAGCGATTGTAACTGTCCTATTTCACAAACATTTTCTCTAACATTTTCATCTCCACCTTTCCCCTCTCTGCAAAACACCTATCAGTAATCCATTTTACCTTTATAAAACACATAACCACAGAATCACATAATGGTTGAAGTTGAAAAGAACCTCTGCATGTCATCTTGTCCAGCTGCCCTTCTCAAGCAGGGCCACCGAGAACCGGTTGCCCAGGACCAAACCTAGATTTTAGAATATCTCCAAGGAGGGAGATTCTACCACCTCTCTGGGCAGCCTGTGCCAGTGCTTGGTAACCGTCACAGTAAAAAAAGTGTTTTCTGATGTTCAGATGGAACCTCCTATGCCCAAGGTACCATTTACTTTCTTTACCACATTGCTGGGTCATGTTCAACCTGGTGACCACCAGGAGCCCCAGGTCCTCTTCTGCCAAACTGCTTTCCACCTGGGTGACCCCCAGCATATGCTGGTGCATGGAGTTGCTCTTCTCCATGTGCAGAACTTTGCACTTCTCCTTGTTGAACTTCATGAGGCTCCTGACCATGCATTTCTCTAGCCTGTCAAGTTTCCTCTAAATGGCAGCATGATCCCCTGGTGTATCAGCCACTCCCCTCAGTTTGCTTCATC